ATCATGTATATTCATCAATTTTTATCAATATCATGTCTTTTCATCAATATCATGTATATTCATCAAGATCAAAAGGGGCTCTGTCCCTTTTTATAGAGAGATGAGGGTAGGGGGTAGGTGGCACAGTGTGAGGAGTTGGTGGCACAGGAAAAAGAGAGAAAAAATATATATATATATATAATATTTTATATTATTTTTAAAAAAATAGGATTTCAGACTCTATTCTCAGAAATCATCAAAAATTTACCCATAGCACCGTCTCATCATTCTAAGATCAACGGTGTAAACCTCATGTCCATATGATCAATATAAAAATTATTAAAAATACAAATATGATAGATGTCAGTAGACGCGATACCGTCTCAAAATAGTGTTTTAGTCTCCATCGTCAAAACTCAATGAAACTTTACCCACAACATGGTCTTGACATTCTAAGATTAATGGCACAAATTTTGTGCTCATCTGATCAATAGATAAATTACTAAAAATAAAATAGTATCAGTTTTCAGTAGACTCGCGATACCGAGGCTGAAACTGCGAATCGATCTCAAATCAATTCCAATCTGATCCATTCATCCCAGAATGATCACCAATCATAATAAACTCATTTATTATCATTTATAATAATATTTTTAAAATTTTTGGGGTTTTACATTCAGCCTTTACAGGCGAGCTTCAACCTTTAGGCGAGCTACTGAACATGCTTCGAAGAATAGGCCATAACTTTCAAACCGTAAGTCGGAATTTGACGAATTATATATGAAAATCGACTATCTCGACGAGACGGGGTCAACCAAACCTCCAAAGGGGGTTTACCGCCTCCGTTTTTCCAAATTCCTTATGATTTGAGAGATATCAGCGTTTTTCCTCTTTTTGCTCTTTCGGATGAGGTTTTGGCAGTCTTGTTCTAAACTTCTCTGATAGGGATAAAGGCAATTTTTATTACCTATAACTGTCTAGGAATAGTGATGTATCTACTTAACTATAACCTAATACATCTTAAGAACGACTTACTTTTTAATATCATCATTAATTGATGTAACTATAGTCTAACACAATGAAAATTTAGAAAACTACAAAAAAATACCCTCAAAAGTTTTTAAAATATTAAAAACAAACATCCTAAAATTTTATAATTAACAAATACACAAAACTATTAAAAATTATATTAAAATCAAGGAACTATAAAAAATCATTGAAAATTTTTAAACTTTGGAGGGGTAATTTGCAATGTACGAAACTTTAAGTTTTTTTTATAAATTTTAAATCTAATAGATTTTTAATTAGTTGTATTCTTTTAAAAAAGTTATGGGTAATATTGACCATGAAAAGTTTTTCCTAAACCTATACTTTTAAAGGGAGTGTGATATTTTTTTGTAAAGTTTTTATTTTCTAGGAGTTGCTAGTGATTTTGTATATTCATTTTAGTGCCTATAGGTTAGAAATTCTCATGGTGTTTTTTTTATAAATTATGAGTATTAGGGGTTTTTTATAATTTTTTAAACTTATAGGCATTTTCTATAGATTGTAAATTATTTATAGACTAATTATAATTCCTATATTTTTAATTTACTAATGAGTTTTGAAATTCTCAGATTGCTTTTTGTAAAATTTGAATTTTGAGTGTTTGTTTGTAATTTTTTAAACTTTAAGGGTGTTTTCTATATATTATAAATTATGCGGAGGATATTTGTAACCCCTATATTTCTAATATATTGTTAGGTTAGAAATTATCAGGATTTTTATAAATTTTATAATCTTGATGGTTTTATCTTGAGGGTTATTTTTAGGTTTTTATTGTATTTATATGTTTGAAATTTTCAATGTGTTTTTTACAAATTTTGAATTTTAGGAGTGTTTTCATATTTTTAAAAACTTACAATATACTTTCTCTGATGTCAAAAACTTTTATTTTTTAGCTAGCATATATTTTTTAGATTTCTCACTGAATTGACATAGGTAAAATTTATAATTTTTAAGATGTTTTAATAAATTTTTAAGTTTATAGGGGTGTTTTTACAATTTAAAAACTTAGAGGGTATTTTTTACAAGGTCTAGGAATTAAAATTGTATTATCCTGTAGCTAAATAAATAAATATAAATTAAAAGTAATAATTTAAATTATTAAGTACCTAATATTTGTTCCTGTAAGAAAGTAAAGTAACATATGGTCAGTATACTTACATAGTCAATCGATTAAACATATTAAAATTATAATGACCACAGTTAAAATTATATGGTGTGTTCACATTAAATATAATTTATAAAAACTAGTACATTAAAGTCAAAAACCTTTTAACCAACATATTGATTGTTTAAACGTTTTTGCATGTATAAACTATAGTGCTTGGGAATAGTGATGTGCACACTTAACTATAGCCTAATACATCTTCAAAACGATTTACTCTTCAATATCATCATTAATTGATGTATCTATGCATTACACTAAAAACACAATGAAAATTTAGAAAACTACAAAAAAAAACCCTCAAAAATTTTTAAAATTGTAAAACAAACACCCTAAACTTTTATAATTAACAAATACACAAAACTATTAAAAATTACATTAAAATCCAAGAAACTACAAAAAACATTGAAAATTTTCAAACTTTGGAGGGGTAATTTGCAATGTACTAAACTTTAAGATTGTTTTTTTGTAAATTTTAAATCTAATAGATTTTTAATTAGTTATGTTCTTTTGAAAAAAGTTATGGATATTATTGACCATGAAAAGTTTTTCGTAAACATATACTTTTAAAGGAAGTATGATATTTTTTTTGTAATTTTTTTATTTGTTACGGTTGCTAGTAATTTTGTATATTCATTTTAGTATCTATAGGTTAGAAATTCTCATGGTGTTTTTTATAAATTATGAATATTAGGGTTTTTTATAATTTTTTAAACTTATAGGTCTTTTCTATATATTGTAAATTGTTTATAGACTATTTATAATTTTTTAAACTTATAGGTCTTTTCTATATATTGTAAATTGTTTATAGACTATTTATAATTCCTATAGTTTCAATTTACTAATGACTTTTCTATATATTGTAAATTGTTTATAGACTATTTATAATTCCTATAGTTTCAATTTACTAATGAGTTTAAAATTCTTAGAGGGTTTTTTGTAAAATTTGAATTTTGAGTGTTTTTTCATAATTTTTAGAACTTTAAGGATATTTTCTATAAATTATAAAGTATGCAGAGGATATTTGTAACTCGTATATTTTTAATGTACTGTTAGGTTAGAAATTATCAGAATTTTTATAAATTTTACAGTTTTGAGGGTTTTATCTTGCAATTTGTAAAAAGTTTAGAGTTTTATAAATTTTTAGAGTTTTATCTTGAGGGTGTTTTTTATAAGGTAACTTTTAGGTGCTGGTTAGTATATATTTTTTAGATTTCTCTACAAATTGAAATAAATAAAAGATATGAATTATATCAAACATATCACATTTATCCAATAACATGTTAAGTCTCATTATGGATAGGATAAATTATTTAATTATAAATTCAAAGAAGATAGAAAAATTAGAATAGATTAGGATAATAATATAATATTTTAAAAAAAATTAAGGGTAATATTGATCATAGAATGATTTTCCCTAACTCGTACTTTTAAAGGGAGTATGATATATGATATGATAAACTTGTGCTCACAAGTCTCCCTCTAGACCTTTTAAGCGCCATCCACGATAGTTTGATAATACACTGTTGATGTTTAAATTCTAATTCAACCACGCTTAACAAATTGGATAGATTTTGTAACTAATTGATTAATTTCAAACTAATATAATTTGAGGGACCTAATCACAGCGTCAATGGTTTGAGGGACTATAAACCTAAAAGATTTAAGGTACTAATATCTGAATAACCCTTTACTTCGTTTTTTTTTTCCTTTTCTTTTTTGACCTTTTCCAGTGTCCTTTTACCTTTTTTTTTGGATTTTTTAGATATTAGTCCCTCAAATCTTTAAAAATTTCATATTAGTCCCTCAAATCTTTTAAATTGCTTAGTAGTTCCTCAAATCCTATGTGGTCTTGCAAATTGGTCCTCTCATAAATATCTACTTAATAGTTTAAGCCATGATAGGACTAACTCTTAATCCAACACCCTCAATTACCAAATTACCCTCAGTTTGAGGATTTTATTAATTTTAGATGGGATGTGATCGTTGGGGAAATCATAAATGGTTAATTTAGGGCAATTTATCCAACCATGGGAGACGATGATCCTAGTGGGTTTGAATTATTTTAACTGGATTTTGCTTAAACACATTAAGAAACAGGTCGGAAAACTTAGCAGAGAGGTAAAACATAGATTCCTTCTGAACCCGTTAAAATTTAGGGAAAATTCCCCTTAAATTTGACGTGAGAGAGGGGCAAATTTGCAGGAAACCATAAGTTATGAGGGACTAATAAGCAATTTCGAAGTTGTCAAGTCCTAATATGCAACTATTGAAGATTTAAGGGACTAACACTTGAAAAATACATTTTCTTTTGTAGGGTGGTTAACAAACAAACAAACGTGTACCAACCTAGCGAAAGGTACGTAATTATTAAAGCATGCGTCTTCCTAAGAAAGAAGATCAGGCGGAAGGTTAGATGAGAGCTGCAGTCGCAAAGTTCGGATTGTTTATCTCTGAAACTGTTAAAAGTTTTTTCCATCTTCTCTTCATTTTTCTTCCTTTCTCAAATGTCAAAATGAAATTAAAAAGAGTGACAAAATATACGCGTTTAAGATAGTTCAACCTTTTAACAAAGTTTTAAATAATTATGAGGTATTCTGCTAATGTCAATATCTGCATGCGTGATGGAAAATAGTATTCATGACGGTGCTCTATTCCGATCTTTGCAGAGGTAGGGTTAGAAGGGATATAACGAGCATCAGCAAGGCATAGATAAATTAGAGCATAACAGATTGACAGACCAAAATCGTACAGGCTAACAATGGCGACGCGCCGAAATTCTCGGTATGCGCGGAGACCCAATCAAACACCATGACAAGTTCCTAATTTCAATAAATTTACAGGCAAAGCAATATTGTCCTCCTCGACTGAATATCAAGCCTATTAGAGTAATTTACAACATAATATATTCAGGAAGCTCTTCCATGCACTTTGCAAAAACAATATTCCATACTCTCACAAGCAACAGCATCACCTGATACGAACTGGAAACTAATCACTACAGAGATTACCTATGAAACTTAAAGAAACATGTACTGTGGCTGTACTTATGAAAATCAGTCATATTTCCCCTCGCATTTCAAGTATGACGACCGCTCAAAATGAACTTATTCGCATCTGACCTCGAAAAACTCCATCCAATCTTTCTCAATGAAACTACTTCACATATGTAAATGGTAGCTTAATTCATTCTTTATCATCTTTCTTCTAGTTATAAACTGTCACCTTCCACACTTGAATCACCCACCCGCAAGGTTTGGATTATTTCGTGGCTATTCTTCATTGTTCTCTTTCAAACCTGCAGTTCGCTCCGGAATTGGACCCACAAACGGAACAACCTAAAGAGGGATTAAATAAAGCAGACAAGAATAAGGATCTTGACAACAAAATTTGATAATTCTGAACTCCCCATTATGGGTTAGAAAAGAGTGCCTCATACTTGATCCCTGACTGAGGATGCTGCATTTCTAGCTCTTTTCGCACCACAACTTTTCTTCAACTCTTCCGCTCTCTCATCCTCCATGTATGCGAAGTTCTGGTCTGAAACCTCTGAGAGAAAACCAAATGGTTTAGATATCAGGGAAGTGATTTCAATAAATTGAAAAGAATTAACTAATAAAAATTTTGCATTATGCAATTTGAAGGTAGCATTTATCAGCATTATTTGTAGCAGATAAACAAAAGGGTAAATTATACTAAACCCCTAAGAACTTTCAGCATTTTGCAGCAAACCTCCAATAACTTTCAAAATCGCTCTAGACCCCTAATAACTTTTGCAGAAATACCCCTTAAATTATTAAAAAACAACTTTATAATCTTTTTATATTTTCAACCGTAAAAACAGAAATCTCTCTCCTCTTTGGCATTCGTTCTCCTCTTGCTCTCGCCCAGGTTGGGGTCTCAAATCTTAATTGTACTTTTTCTGAAATGTCCTTTAAAATGCCTTTTTCATGTTGTTTTTGGGTTCTAATTCATGGGGGTTATCCGCAAAATGCAGAAACATATAGGGGATTTTCTTCAATTCCAGTAGTTATTGGGGGTTTAGCGTGATTTTGAAAATTATTGGGGAATAGGGGTTTACACTTTACTGCAAACCACTGAAAGTTCTTGGGGCTTGGTGTGATTTTGAAAATTTTGGGGTTGTTGAAAGTTCTTGGGGTTTTTCGTAATTTATCCTAAACAACCCAACTATACTCAGGATTCTGGAAGAGAAGGCAAAAAGTACAACAGAGACTTAGAACTTCGGCATAAAAAGTATAAAAGTACAGATAGAGATCTAACTTACAGATAATATAAGTGGCCACACAGAAACCTAAATGGATGAAGGATCATGGACGTGGAGTAACAAAGATAACAAGAAAGCTAAACATGGAAGGGAGAAGGCGGCAATGGAGGTATGTGTAAAAATGAATGTGGATAATCTGTATCTAATTTTAATCGCACTCAAATACCATATAATTTCCCCAACTTTACACTTATATAGCTTCACTTGCTTTTGGCAACACTCATATGCCCTAAAGTTTTTAAATATCCTTAAACGCCTCTCAGATGCTAATTGTAGAACTTTTTAGCCCTTAACTTTGGCTCGATTTACTGTTAAAACTACCATTATTATATTTTATTTTAAAGCTACCCTAATTATATTTCAAAATAGAATTTGTATAGGTTTAACAATAAATTTAACAAATATTAAGAGTTGAAATATTCTAAATTTAGCATATGATCGTCGCATGAGAATTTTTGGGGGAAATTCTCATGTTTGCATAATCGAGGTTATTAAAGTGTAAATTTTAATAACTTTAGTGTAAATTTTCGGGTGGAGCCCCATTGGTCGATGCATGTCAGCATGTTTGAGGTCCATGGCCTATGTTCAAACCTCTGGTTAGTCCCCCTCAAACACGCTGCACAAGCCCCTGGCAAGAGGCTTGGTCGCTCACCCCTCAGAACCTATAAGAGGTTGTGGCCCTTAAAAAAATTCTGTGTGCATCCAAAAAAAGTTCGAACTTCAAGGGCTCATCTTGGGCCTACACATGATAATATATATTAGAAGGTAGATGTATTTGGTCTACTTGAAGCTGTGGTGTGTGCTTGAGAAATGTGCTTGCTGAGTGGCTTCAGTCTAGGAACAATGGTGCCCCCAGTGACAGGCAAGATGAGAAGTGATGTCTGTGCTTGCTCCTGACAGTGACTCAACCACCGCTGCTGCCACCATCCGCCTTCTGGCTCAGTTTTGGTATATTCCTTTTGCCTTTTGGTATGTTATGTTCTGCTTCCAAGTCCTTGCCAAGGTCATTTTTCTGTCGTGCTTGGCGAAGCTCTCTCGCTTGTGCCTTTGATATCCCAATGGGTTTTGTTGCTTGAGCTGCCAGTTTGGGCACGATGGCATAGGAAGTTGAGGCCTCACATGGCACTACCGTGTTTTTATGTGACTATTTCTATAACTGCATCTTCCATCAGGCTCCCCCGCCTTCATGGAGCAGCGCGAGCAGCCCGGAGCGCTGCTCTAGGCGGGTCGCGCCAATGCGCCGCGCGAGGACAAGGCTTAACCGAGTGAGGAGGGCAGGCGACATAGACTGGTTGGCGATCTTAAGCAGGCAATACAATTCATATGCCGAAGCCACGCAACAAGCACATACCGGAGCATCAAATGGGCCAAACACATGCTACCTTCTAATATAGATTAGTACATGTAGGTCCAAGATGAGCCCTGAAGTCCAAATTATATCTATATGCACACAAATCCTTTAAGGGCCACATCATCTCTTATAAGTTTTGGCAGGTATGCGACTGAGCATCTCAAACACCGCGTACAACGGGGATCACATAACGCATGCAATGGGGCTAGCTCACCGTGTGCGAGGGGGCTTGCACACTGCACGTGACAGGGGTCAATCACCATGTACGATGGGGCTCGACACCGCGAGTAAGAGGGCTCAAACGTGTGCACGGGAGGTGGGGGGAGGGGCGACTAGAGGC